AACTGGGCATGCGCGGTACCGCTAATTGATGGGCTGGGCTGCTATTAGTATGTAGTAATACTCGTGGTCTCCCGCTAGTAGCGTCTGACACGGGCTAAATACAGTAGTAGATTGCATGTGGGAGTCGATACACGCCCTTCGTTGTGACTTCTCGTGCCTTCAAGATACACAGAGCAAGCGGACCCGAGCCTGTTCCAAATATAAGCGCATGCGCATTTTCCGCAGCGATAAAATGGCCGACTAGCGTTAGCCGTACAATGGTGGAAGCGCTCTAGCTTTGCAACGAAGCATTTTCAGAGAAAACCGCCTTTATTTTCTGACCTTCATTGCCCATTAAGTAGGTCGTATCGTGTGTGAGACGAACAGACATTCGAGAAGTGAGATTGAGAGTAACAGACAGACAGACAGAAGTACTCTCGCTGTGCATGCGCGCCGAGGGTAACGAGGCAGAGATGGAGGTACAGACTGTAGTAGCACTGCTGTTGCTCGGCGTTTACACCATTGGGGGTAAGATAATATAGCTATAGCTAGCTCTCCTGCACCAGGTTTCTCCAGTTAGCATAATAGAGAGATGCAATGAAAATGTAGTCCTATTTTATATATTATATAGAAATCCAGGGAAACCTATGCGCATGCGCAGTTTGTAGATTGCCACTTCGGGTCTTGTTGTCACATGCAATGGTAAGACTTGAAAAGAACCTTGACGTTGACACAGGGAAGGCTCAGGTGCAGTGCTACTCAGAGGGGCATTGTCCAAATGGTCAACCGACATTGAATATCGGCCAGTTTGATGCAGCTAAAGAGTGCTGTATTATTGGTGAAGCTCTCTCCTGGCAATCTGGAGGAGAACCCTGTGCAGCATGTTTAAGTACGTGATTGCATACACCACAGTATGTTGCATGTGCTATAGTATGTCCTTGTTTCCAGAAAATAATCTCTTCTGAGTTACGGTTTCCCTTTCCACTCACAATTTCCACATTAATATTGTGACATTCATTAATTCATGCACTCTTTAGAGACTTAGTGAGCGTATATTATACAGCTTTTATCATGCAAAATAAATCACAGAACTCGATGTTTTGGTGTGTTTTGCTCCTATAGTTTATGGGTGGAAAGAGACGTATTCCGAGGCAGGGATAGGTGACACAGTGACTCTGACTGTTGGCACTATCAAGGGGTCACCTGAAGTCAGAGTTATTCTTGGTGTGGAATACAACAATACTGGTAAGACTGTTTCAAACAGCTAGTGTTTAGAGTCAACTTTAACGTTGGCTTTTGTGTTTTAGAAGTGAGTGTGGGTGCTACTGATTTCGACCCACCCAGACTCATATTGGCAGCTGAGGATCTGAGTTTACAAGTGACAGTGTTGGATGATGGTCAACCCCTGCAAGAAGATAAGAACATCACGCTAACACTAGCAAAGATAGCAGGGGGGAAAAGTTCTGATATCATTGTCACTGAAGCAATAATCGCAGTCCGATCACAAAAGATCCCAGGTTTGTGAGTATTTTTAATGGTTTTAAAATGTTTGCCTTTACTCTGCCACCCTGTTTTTATACTCTCCTTCTTAATTTCTGGTTGTGCTCATGCTCTTAGCTGACGCTCAGTGTTCGAGTCTCACGTAAAGGACTATCTGCGCATACGTGATTTGTTTCGAGTGCTGCCGAGCATCCAAAGTCTACTTTGCAGAATGTCACTAACTCTTTGGGTCCACGCAACTGCCCTCCTTTTTTGTATTGTACCTTCCTTCAGTAAGGTATGGCAAAATAATGCGCAAAACCAGAAATTAAGAAGGAGAGTTTAAAAACAGGGTGGCAGACGCTCGGCAGCACTCGAAGAGAAGCCTTATATGTCGTCTTCTATTCTATCTTATCTTTTTCCTCCTGTATAGTTGAGCTGCTAGTGTACATAATACACTAAAGTGCAAACCTTCGGCGAACTGCGCATGCGCGGTACCGCTAATGGATGGGCTGGGCTATTGGCGTTAATACTCGCGGTCTCCCGCTAGTAGCTCGCGGAGAGTCTGACACGGGCTAGCTACAGTAGTAGATAGCATGCGGGAGTCGATACACACCCTTCGATGTGGCTTCTTGTACCTCCAAGGCACAGAGCAAGCGGATCAGGTCGAGGTGAGCAGACACAGCAACATACTGCGCCGATCGCGTCTAATACAAGCTTACGCATGCGCACCTCTTATTGATGGGTTGGGCCACGCAACGCGGTCCGCGACCGTGCCAGTTTGTCTCTCTCGAACGCAGTTGTTTCAGCAAAATCGCCATTTTCTTTTTCTAGCCCATGTACCGCTAAAGCTGTTGTTGGTATCGCTCATTAGCCGCCTCGTAGCCTATAGTGCGAGAATAGTCGTAGACAGACACACACACACACACAGACACACAGAACGACTACCGTAACCCTCGCTGCGCATGCGCGCCGAGGGTTAACGCATACTAGCCCAGCCCCCATCAATTAGAAGTATCGTGCATGCGCAGTTTGTCGAGGGTTTGCACTTCCGCAGTGCTATATACAAGATACCTGTGAACTCACGAACACCACCTGTGTGTCTGTCTGTCTGTCTGTCTGTCTGTCTGTCTGTCTGTCTGTCTGTCTGTCTGTCTGTGTGTTGTCTGTGTGTCTGTGTGTGTTATGGAACCCCCCATGCAGATTCTCTTTCTTGCACTGCTACTGGATTGTCAGAAGTAGCTATAAATTGCAGTGGGGTTGAACCAGACACTTCTCTACAGTGTTCATTTAGTGGTGGACCACTTCACTCATGTAAGTAGCATACGTAGTAGTTATGTCATGTCCGTGAGGTACGTTGCCGGAATAAATCACGAGTGATTTATTCCGGAAACGTACCGAACGGACATGACATTGTAATTTATGTCGTCATGACCCGCGTTGGCTACGGATAATGGCGCAAAAATTCTTGTTTGTCTCGACCTAAACCAGTTTTCCGACCGGTTTTTTTCTTGCTGGCAGGTCGTGACCCGGAGCGTCTCTGAGCTGACTTCACGTTCATCCGTGCTCGCGCTAGTCCTTTCGCCGTCGCTGGTCTTTTCCTGTTCTTCTCCCTCACTCGATCGAGCGCTCTTCGCGCCATCCTTCGCGTCTCACAGGAAGTTGTAACACTCATAGGAAGTTGTTATGTCGTCATGCGTGGGTGGATCAAAAGCGCCGCCACGCACTATATCAGGGCGAAATACCCGCAGCGAGGGCTATATCAACTTCCTATGAGTGTTATATCAACTTCCTGTGAGACGCAAGGGATGGCGCGAAGAGCGCTCGAGTGAGGGAGAAGAACAAGAGAAGGCCAGCGACGGCGAAGGGACTAGCGCGAGCACAGATGCAATACGGCGGAGATCGGGGCGAAATACGGGCTATAGGATGAGTGTCCAGTGGAATCATGACTGTCTCTCTTGAAGCTTCAAAGTGTCTAATGGGGTTCGTCAAGGTGGTGTTCTTTCTCCTTTCCTCTTTGCTGTATATTTGATAGTTTGTTGAATGAGTTGTCTCTCTCTGGTGTTGGTTGTTGTTGGCGATGGATGTTTGCTGGTGTTTTTTGTTTTTCTGATGATATTGTTTTATTGGCTCCTTGTGCCTCTGCTCTCCGCAAAATGCTATCAATTTGCAGTTCCTATGCATCATCACATGGTTTGATATTTAATTCTGAAAAGACTCAACTGATATGCTTCAGAAAGAATGTCCGGCAGTCCTCGGTTGACCACATCGAATTTAATGGAGTTTTCCTTAAATTTTGTAATAAAGTCCTGCACCTTGGCCATCTTCTTTCGTTTGATCTCAGTGATAAAGATGACATCATCAGAGCCACAAAGACGTTAACCGCAAGGCCAACTTGTTCTGTACACCTTTCGTTATGCAGATCCATTCGTGTTGACTTTTTTCTACAAAATGTACTGTCTCTCTCTATAATTTGGCATCTCCCTAGAAACTCTGATACATCCATTGTCCTCAATACGGCAAGGATTTCTTATGTACACAATATTATCATGTATCGCTACTCGAAGTTCATCTCTCGTTGTCTCGACAGTGAGTGTTTTTTTGTTATACCTGACTCACTCAACCTTGCCTTCTCTTCTGTTGGTTATAATTGCTTGTATGGTAACTCTCATACCAAATTTTTCACTGATTATGATTCACAAACAGCAAATACTAGAAGATTCTATCATCATAATTATTATGTATGGTACTCATTCGCCTTTTGAACATTACATTTCTAACATTTCCTCTTAATCTCATTCATTTTTCTTCTTCATTTGCACCTTTATTTGGTGTGTGTAACAATGATAATAATATCAACTTCCTATGAGTGTTACAACTTCCTGTCGGAGACGCGAGGGATGGCGCGAAGAGCGCTCGATCGAGTGAGGGAGAAGAACAGGAAAAGACCAGCGACGGCGAAAGGACTAGCGCGAGCACGGATGAACGTGAAGTCAGCTCAGAGACGCTCCGGGTCACGACCTGCCAGCAAGAAAAAAACCGGTCGGAAAACTGGTTTAGGTCGAGACAAACAAAAATTTTTGCGCCATTATCCGTAGCAACGCGGGTCATGACGGCATAAATTACAATGTCATGTCCGTTCGGTACGTTTCCGGAATAAATCAATCATTCACAACCCCATCCCTTTTGACATGTAGTCATAGACGGTAAAATTATCAGACCTGCTCTGCATAGCATCCAACATTTACGAACAAGAGAACTGAACGAAGATGTAGAGATAGGGTTATGAACGACTTTCTGTCTCGCTGTAGGTGTCTTAATGTTCCCCTTCTTTTACATGAGGCGACATCCCTATAGTACAACACTTTAGACAGATATCTTTACAAAATTCTAGGTAACGTACCAATTCTACTGACAAGTAATGTCAGTCCTCCTGGTAGCCGGTTTAACGTGACAATATTGGCAAGTACTGGAGGTGAGGACACTGTGACGTACGACATAACAAACACCAAAACTGATGGTGAGTGTAATTTATGTATCCACTTTCATCTGAAATTTGCTTCTTTGAGTAGCTATAGCTGCTTTTTGAGCATAACAAAATGGTTTTCACCCACAACTTTTGATTTTTCACTGTATAGTTGTAATTTCACAATAATTTTCTCAGTGTCAGCCAGCGTGCCTCCACTGGAGGTTGTTCTAACTGGTGGTTCACCTCGTGTGACTGAGAGCTCTGTGGAGGCTGAGTTTGTAACCACCAGACCAGTGACTGGAGTGAGGTGCTTCCTCAGATATGAGAACAAGAATGATTACAAAGACTGTGAGCATAAATAATTAGTTGTTAAAAAAAAGGTATTTCACTTTTGTGTCGTACACATCGTTATGTGCTATTATCACAGGTTCTTCTGGTAGTGTGTCCTTCACAGGACTGAAGCCTGGACGCTATGTCCTAAAGATCTTTGCCTACAACAAGCTAACTGATGTGGCAGCTATCAAGAGAGTGGTTAATGTGTAATCTTTTAACAGAGTGGATACTATTATTTTTCTTAATGCTGCAGTACTGTGTCTATAGATAGCTTTAGAACAAAAAATGTTTTTCTATGCTTCTACATAATACATAAACATCTCCACTGACACAATAATTTGCTCGTAGTTTCACATAAAAGGAGCTCTTAACAATTTTTCAGCCGAGACATATAAATGAAAAGCACTAAAGTGCAAAACCCTTGGCGGCGTGGAACCATACATGCGGGTTGGGCTATTATTAGCGAGCGGGAACGAGCTAACCTAGTGGTCCAAACGGCGTGATTTTTCTATACGTCCGTCCGTACGTACGTCGTGCTATTGCGCATGTGTCAGAATTACGCGCTTCTTTTTATCCGAAATAATTTCAAATTTTTTACACGCTCTTGTGATGCGGAGCCAGGGAGAGAACTCTTGTCCATTCGGCGGCATTCTCTGCACTCTTTGGTGCCTTACCGAGGCCTGCAATCTTCGTGGTTCCAAGCTGCAAGTTGTGAGTAGCCTAGGTTGGCTCGTGCGGATATAATCATTGTGTGCTCGCTCCCGCTGGTCCAAACGGCGCGATTTTTCTATTTATACGTCCGTCCGTACGTTGTGCCATTGCGCATGTGTCAGAATTACGCGTTTCGAAATAATTTCAAATTTTTTACACGCTCTTGCTGCTAGCTCGATGCCGAGCCAGGGAGAGAACTCTCGTCCATTCGGCGGCATTCGCTGCACTCTTTGGTGCCTTACCGAGGCTTGCAATCTTCGTGGTTCCAAGCTGCAAGTTGTAAGTAGCCTAGGTTGGCTCGTGCGGATATAATCATTGTGTGCTCGCTCCCGCTCGCCAAAAATGCCGTGCGTTCGCCTACTAGTTTATTGGCGAGCGGGAGCAAGCTAACCTAGTGGTACGAACGGCGCGGATTTCTATATCTACGACCGTACGTCGTCCAACTGCGCATGCTCCAGGATTACGCGCTTCTGGATTTAAAAATTTCAAATGCTGCCTGCCTGTGATGATGTCGTGCGTATACATGTGCATATAGTCCGGGGAAGATGCACTTCGTCGTCGAAGAGAGTGGGAAAGAGAACATCGTGACCGTGAGACTCCTGAGCAGAGAGACTGGTTTGGGATATCCCTCGTTTGTATCAGCGTCGCTTTCGTGATAGGGAACGCGCAAATTTTTACCCTCCACCTGATGGAGTGTTTGAGTTTGACTACAATGTCGTCCTCTCTACTGCTGATGGCTCTGCCACTGGTATGCACAAGATTACTATGTACATTGCTCACATGCAAACCCCTCGGACAGTGCACCACTACACTAACATTATATAATATGACAATTTGGTCATTAAACTGTTAACCTCGTGAAAGTACATGTTTTCCGCATTCCACTGTCTAGTCCAACCCCTAGCCCTGCCCCCTTCTCGTATTCAATTGTCTATGATGTAAGAACCGAGATTTTAGTGTGTATGGTCATGTATCTTTGCTGAATAGGCAGGTGAGTTACAGGCATTTTATTACTCCGCATGTCCTATGTCTCTGCAGGAGGCAGTGACTACATGTCCATAGCAGAAGAGGTGATAGCAGCTAGTACGATGCCCAATGGAGTGGTGTCAGTGAATGTGAGTGTCTTCAGTGATGACAGAGTGGAGCTGGAGGAGACATTCTCAGTGGTGGGTAGGGTCCTAGAGAGTGGCCTGATCGCTGACGGAACTGGCAGGGAGTTCCCCGTGGTATTCCACTCGACGTCTCCATCAACGATGATGGTACAACATATACGTGTCTGTCACGCTTAGGAATGTCAATTAGTCACTAAGTGGGAGATTGGGGTAGGGCGAGGGACAGCAGAAGAAAGGAAGATGTAGTCTGTTGTTTTCTGCATCATTCTCTACTCATGCTATTCCAGCCATAATTTTCTATACATCTATCAAGAATGACACATTTTGTACAAAGTTGTAGGGGTGGAGTTTTAAGTGCACTTCTACTATATAGTTTTCATTTCTCTCTCTCTCTCTCTCTCTCTCTCTCTCTCTCTCTCTCTCTCTCTCTCTCTCTCTCTCTCTCTCTCTCTCTCTCTCTCTCTCTCTCTCCCTCTAGCTATCACTATTGGATTCGAGAGTATTGAGTACACAGTGGAAGAGGGTGACACACTGGAGGTAGTCGTGGTGAAATCTGCTCCGTTTGACTCTGTCATAGAATTCGAGGTGGCAGGTGGAAACTTCTCTGCCATCAGGGCTTTCCAGGATGGAGCATCCAGTCCCAACTCCATATCAATATTTTTTTCAAATCCCTGATGACATCATTGCTCTGAAACCACCGGAAACGATATCATTTACACTGACAGTTCTCAACCCAAATCCACAGATATCTGTCGACCCAGACACTACCACTGTCACCATACTCGACAATGATGGTGAGTTTGGATTGTGGCTTTGTTGTGTTAGCTACGATGATGAAGGTCGTTGGGCATTATGTGTAGTTCTGTTTTGAATTAAGAACCTTCTCCCTCTAATTTTTCTTATAATTATTATTATTAAAATATTTCCCTGCAGTACTTGTGGGCTTCAAAGCTGACATTCTCACAGTACCAGAGGATGCTGGCGATGTATTCATACCAGTCATCATCAGTCAGGACGTCCATGAGCCTATCACAGTCGACATACTATACCAGGATGGATCTGCCATGGAACAATCAGGTCGACATAGTCTTACAGTAAAACATACAGTTGTTCCAGAGTGTTAGTCACAGCTCGTGATTTTCAAATGTTAGGACCTTTTTCAGTTGTGCGTAATCTAAGCGCTGGCACGGATAGTTTTCTTTACTGGGTTACCTACAGCTCCTACATAGTTGCATTATGAACTCTCTCTTCCCCAAATGTATGATGTGTAGATTTCTTCATAACTGGTCCGTCAAGTCTAACATTCACATCAAATGGAACTCGGAATATTCTGATTTCCATTGCTGATGACACTGAAGATGAACCAGACGAGACGTTCTCCATAGCTCTAGTGAACCCTGTGTCAGGAGCCACTGTCGTTGTCTCCCCTGACACCATCACCATAACCATCATTGACAATGATGTCACTATCGTTGACAATGATGATGAAACACAAACTGGTAAGCAAGTACATACTCCAGGCCCAGGCTATTAGACCTACTAGCAAAATCACGTAGTCTTTGACTCAGTATAATTATATGCAATTGCAAAGTGTAAAGCACTGTTTATGTTAGTACTGAATACACTTTTGTTTCGAATAGGAGATAAAAAACCGCCTGTGATCATCATCATAGTAACTGCTGCAATAGCAGTGTTACTGATTGCTGCAATCATCATCATAACAATTCTCATTGGAATTATGAGGCAGAGGAAGAAGAGGCAAAAGAAGTTCGCTCTACCCATCTATGATGATCCAGATTATCCCTATTATTCTTCTGTCCTTGACAAAACCGAAAATAAAGCAAGTACCGAGATTTCACTGCAGATACAGCCAGAAAATTTTGCCATTCCTAACCAGCAGCAGGAAAATGTTACTTCCCCTATTGAGCAGCAAGAGAATTTAGCTTATGGTGCTCTTTCGAACCAGCAGCAGGAAAATGTTACTTCACCTATTACGCAGCAATTACCTGGTGATCAGGCTGAGGAGCGATGCTAAAGACTATGAGATTAATATGGATTATGTGAATCATACTGAGTAGTTTTAAACATTATAGCATATTTTCTTCAACTTATGGCGCGCATTACTACTGTAAGGATCTTATTGTAGCGAAGGTTCGCGTTAATAATAATGATCTCAAACTTTCAACTCAGTACAAGCAGTATAATGCATGTGCATTGCCTGCCACTACACGGCAGGTTAATAACATTCTTTTTTAGTGCACCTCTTCTTGATCTTACCAAAATGTCTCATTTTTACACTCATACTTGCTGTTTGTCTCAATATACTTGCCTGCCCTTCTTTAGTTACACCTCTTCCCGATTTGTACAAGAACGTCAAATCAGACACAACGACGGAAGAGATTTCTAAGCTGTTTTCCGTCTACGGACGAGTGTTTGACGTGCAGAAGCATCCAAACAGATGCAGTGTTGCCTTTGTGCTGAGTGCCCCATAGTCCCATACATACATTAACTTGCCCTGGAATCAACAACTTCCTGTAGTTCTTTTATGTCAAGTGAATAATACTGTAGGGGAGGCAAAAGTCACTGCACATGCGTGCCGAGGGTTAGTAGCGCGGAAAATTGCATGTACCTAGTTGCTATAAACTTAAGAGTAGTCATTGTGAGGTGTTGAGTTTTGTTTGTCTCCTGCAGTACATGTGGGAGGAGGGAGGCAACAAGGCCATTTCCAGCCTCAATGGCCTCACCTCCAACCAGACCAGCAAACCACTCATTGTCGAGCTCAGCCATGAGGTATATTATAGAACTGTGTATGTATACAGTGGAACCTCCGAACAAGGGACACTGTGGGGCCAACGATTTTGTCCCTTGTAGAGAGGTCATCCCTATCTTGGAGGTCAAATAGCATAGGGTTGGGACATGTAGAGAAGTCGTCCCTATCTCGGAGGGTCACTTATCGGAGGTCCAACCTCTTCTTTCTCGCCATTATACTTGCACATCTTTGCAAGCAACCAGATTTTATATTTCTCTCTCTCTCTTTCCCTACTCCAGCCAACAGGAGCAGTCTCACTAAAAGTCTGATCCACAACAGCTATTGAACTCAGACCAACCAGCCATGCAGGATTGTGGTTATTCACATAATCAACTACCCCACCTAAGAAAACTCAGTTCATTGTCATTGCACATTGCATCATCATCATAAATAATTATTATTGATCACTTGTCAGCAGAATCACTTGCTTCATCAAAGAGACAATTTTACTTTGTGATTTTAAAGCTCTCTGATTTTTTTCACAATCACTTCAGGTTGCGCGCATGCTCTTAGCTGACGAGTCTTACGTAACGGACTGCATGCGCATGCGTGATTTGTTTTCTGGTGCTGCCGGAGCGTCCGAAGTCTGCTGCGAGGAGTGACACTTTCTGCAGAATGCCACTAACTCTTTGGGTCCACGCAACTGCCCTCCTTTTTTCTACCTTCCTTCAGCAAGGTATGGCAAACTAATAATTCAGTGTAGTATGCTGGCTTAGCTTCACTGTGACGATTGCCTGGGTTATTCATGTAACTACGTACAGCTATTGCGACCTACGGGATCACTATAGCTAAAGCTTTCTTTTCCAGTCGCCACTTCCTCCGCTGCTGTGTTCGTTCCAAGCTACACGTGTGACGCAGGAAATTATATGTAACTGATGGGAGGGCTACAACTAGTTGTTTTCGCAGCACTACATAGCAGTACTATCGCAAAGTGTATTATCATCACAGTATGTATACACAAGAGACCAGGTCTATCCACTAACACAGGCTCTGCACAGACTGTGCCGTGCTTCACTGGACTTGGTTGTGCTTCTGGTAGTGTTGGGGAACAGGTTTCAACATTGGCCTGCTGTAGCATGGCTGATACTCTCTCATTCAGACCTACAGTGGGCCACGAATCATGCTTTACATGTTATGGTAAGCTATACTGACATAAGTGTTTGGAACTGAACTTTTTTGGTTCTATCAGGGTTTGGATGGGTACAGAATATCAACAGTGATTTAACATCAGCTGAGCCTCAAACTGAAGTAACTGCTGTGGAAGGACAGACTGTCACTCTCACACTTTTCTACATTAAGAATAATCCACCAAATTCCCTCCGAATAGACTTTAACATTCAGAGCTCTGGTTCAGCAACAGGTATTTAGTTCTGTGTTGTTTGTCTTATTTATTAGATGACTGTTATACTGTTTTGCATGTTTTGATGATTACTGTGTTTCTCCTACAGAGGGAGTGGACTATGTTGTGACTCCAGATCCAGCTAGTGTTTTCATGGACGAAGTGTCACTGCAGTTGGTCCCAGTCACAGTTAATGTCACTCTAGCCAGTGATGGTATAGGAGGAGAAGGAACAGAAGACGTTGTTATTACTCTAGTCCAGCTTCCACCAATCGAAGATGAGCGTGTTCTCGTCAACCCAACTGTCAGGATCATTGTCGAGGATAATGACAGTATGTATTGTAGTAGTGGGAGATTATTGTCACATTGTGATAATGCACACACCTACTATGACAATCCAATCACCACAGTTTCATACGTTCCAGATTTGTGAAAATAGCCAAAGAGAAGCCTTATATGTCGTCTTCTATTCTATCTTATCTTTTTCCTCCTTTTTTTCTCTGTATAGTTGAGCTGCTAGTCTACATAATACATAAAATACATTTAGTGACTGGTTTTGTGCCATATCGGAGTGTTCAGTGTGTATGTCTCAGAGTGTCATTTTTCGAGCCACAACTTGGGTTCAACATGACATCCCTGCAGCTTGATTTCCTTAAAAATTGCAGATCTCAATTCTATTTTGAAGGCACACGGCTTTGTATCTATTCAGATTCTGCCAGTGCACCATCTTTAAATGGTATATAGCACACTGCCTGCACAAAGCTGATGCAGTAGTGGCCAGCATGAGTGGGTGTGTGGTTTGCCTGCCTCCACTCTGTTTTGACAGCTAATGTAACCGTTCCAGCCTGTATATACTCTTGCTACACTAAGGGAAGTACACTACCCAGGTGAAGTTTTATTTTAGTATCCTGTAAAGAAAAGCATAGTAGGTCAAGAGTTTAAGGGGAAGATCCAGCAAACCCTTGTCAAGCTCACAGATGCAATGGGCAGTCAAACGATTTGTGTTCTGCCCATATTTGGCCACCACAGAAGGTCTAAAGGGATAATGCTGCCAAAATCTCTATAATTAGATTACATTTGTTGGCGAGCGAAGTGAGTAGCTAAAATATTGCACATGTTTAGAATCACATACAACATTACTGTATCATTATGACTGAATCAGTTGTTATCTTTCATATTGAATTGCGGATTTTGTTTCATTGTCACAGTTCAGACTGGGTTCAGGACGCCAGAGGATGGATGTATCCCAGAGGGTGCGTTGCAGGAGATCTGTCTGACTATTGTTGGATCTCCTGCAGTGGATACTGTGCTAACTGTCTCTGTCACTTATGGCACTGCTGGACCTGAAGGTAAGGGGATCATGCAATTACTTTGCCATTCTGTAAAACTTTGTGTTGGCCAACAACACACAAACTATAGTGACTCCTGCTGGTATAATGTATTTTGTAGAAATACACAGTTTTGAATCATACTCTAATTTCAGTTAACAAACTTAGCACGAACACATCCTTTATGCTGTGTTGTGACCATGTACAGACTTCGATCTGATCACGTCACAAGTGACCATCACTGAGACTATGACTGAGTCGTGTGTGAGTTTCCAGGCCATAGCAGACGGTCTGGGACTGGAGGGAGTGGAGAACCTCACTCTGTCTCTGAGTGGACCTCCCAATGTACAACTGACTACTGCCTCTCTACACATCTGCATTCAGGACTCTGACGGTAACAACCATTACAATGTACATAGTCTCCACACAAGTAACTTTTTCAGCTATGTTTACACTGTTGTGCATGCAGTGGAAATGCACAGATCATGGATGTATATACTCAGTCTTTGGTATTTCATCAAATTATGAACACTGTGGCATAAACAAGGGCATAATAATAATTGAGCAGTCGCAATACAGTGATATAATAATTTATTTTTGCTCGGTCTTCCCCATAATGTTCCAGTTGTGACGTTTGAGTTTTTCGAGGGAGAGGCAGAGGCTGAAGAAGATGATCCTGAGATCAGTGTGACTATCTCTAGAAGTGTGGCTACAGCAGAAGAAGTGTCCTTCACTCTCACTCCCACTGAGTATGATGCTTCGTTTGGCTTTCCCATTCCTACCTTTGATACCAGCTCACCCAACCTTGCAACACGTAAGAAAAATTTCTTACACAAACACGTGCAGTGGTAATAATGATACAATCTACCACCAGCCGGGGCAGACTATGTGCCTGATATGATACAGTTCACCGTACCTCCTGGAGATGGCCCAACAGTCATTGCAGTACCCATTATTGATGATGTCATAGCAGAAGATTCCAACCAATATTTCATTGGAGTCCTGCGCTTCAGTGGAAATCCAACTGGAGCAGTGCTGGGGAGAGATGCTATACTTTTGGGAATCCAAGACAACGACCGTAAGAGAATCTGTATTCAGTTCTTGTTCGTGAATGTTGTTTTTGTGTTTGCAGAAGCAACTATTAGATTCCAGTTTCTCTTGAGTGTTGTTGACGAACAAGATGTAGATTTTACCCACAACCTCCTCGTGACTAGAGACGTAGACTCGGAGCAGAACTATTCCATTGCTCTCAGTGGCTCACCTAATACAGCTGAGGACGACGACTTCTTTGTGTCTGACGGCACGTTCTATTTCCCTCCGGACGTGTCCAGTATCAACGTGTCAGTCACCATTCGTGGAGACACGAGAATTGAACTGGCAGAGACGTTTGATGTAAGGCTAGGTCAGAGAGGAGGTACAAACTTTGTCGTTGACCCTCTGACCAGAAATATCATTGTGGAAATCAGAGATAATGATGGAGGTTGGTCTATACGACTTATTTTGCCTACGTAAGTCAATCTAAAACTTTCTCAATGAACTAAGGAGCTTAACTGAATCTCTCACATTGTATGGAATGTTTATTGGAAAGTAAACACGTTCCTTAAACTCAAATGGTTAATAAGTGACATTCAATGGCACTGTTAGATCAGTATGTAGTGCAGAATGTTTTAGAGTGAAGTAAAAAGGATCCTCTTTCTCCTTTATTCTCTCATTCATTCTCTCACCTCAGACTACATCTACGTACCTGCCCAGAGTACCTATATTGTCCCTGAAGGAGAACAGAGAGAAGTCAGTTTTGTCTTGGATAACCCTCCACTTGATGGAGTCTTTGAGTTTGACTACAATGTCGTCCTCTCTACTGCCGATGGCTCTGCCATTGGTATGCGCAAGATTACTATATAATATGTACATTGTTCACATGCAAACCCCTACAGTGCACCACTACACTAACATTTTAAGGTAGGCTGACAATTTGGTCATTACTTCATCACTGTTAACCTCATCAAAGTACATGTTTTTCGTAACTCCTAGCCCTGCCCCCTTCTCGTATTCAATTGTCTATGATTTATAAAAAGTAAGAACCGAGATTTTAGTGTGTATGGTCATGTATCTTTGCTGAATAGGCCGGTGAGTTATATACATGCACTTTATTACTCCGCATGTCCTATGTCTCTGCAGGAGGCAGTGACTACATGTCCATAGTGGATGAGGTGATAGCAGCTAGTACGATGCCCAATGGAGTGGTGTCAGTGAATGTGAGTGTCTTCAGTGATGACAGAGTGGAGCTGGAGGAGACATTCTCAGTGGTGGGGAGGGTCATGGAGAGTGGCCTGATTGCTGACGGAATTGGCAGGGAGTTCCCCGTGGTATTCCAGGGCCCTCTCGACGTCTCCATCAATGATGATGGTACAACATATACGTGTCTGCATGGGGGAAGAGAGAGAAAGAAGAGTGCTAGGGATTGAGAGGCTTTTGTCCGTGGTCACATGCATTGGCTCTTTGAATGCCTGCACACCGGTCCCGCCCCCACCCCACGCCCATGAACCGGAAGGCCCTACGTATAGGTCACGCGATGTTCTAGTGTCACGTGTAGTTTAGCCTACGTTCATGCACCAGTCATCAGGGGAGCTCCTCGGCAGATCATCGTGTAGGACACAGGTTTCGGTCCCTTTAGTCTCCCGACCTGTGTCTCACTACTACCGAGGCGGGACCACTCCCTTTCCTTAGAGTCTGTTAGGTAGGCAATACTATCTGTAATATTCAGTTTACTATATACAACCTTTTACTGTCAGTTCATTATGGCCAGAAACAGGTTTACTTAGTACTGAACGTTTTGCTGTTGCTTTACTTAGCTATTGTAACAGGATTACTTAGGATATAATGTTGGCATACCTGTGGTAGTAGTAGACTTTCTTTACCCGCCCGGGTATTGGTGACCACGTGGAGTAGAGTATACATACATAACACAATTATTACTACCCGCACCACTACGCATGCGCGGAGAGTTGCTCAATGGAATGTCACGCTTTTTTTTCACTCTAAAATATTCTGCACTACATACTGATCTAACAGTGCCGTTGAATGTCACTTATTAACCATTCGAGTTTAAGGAACATGTTTACTTTCCAATAAACATTCCATACAATGTGAGAGATTCAGTTAAGCTCCTTAGTTCATTGGGCAAGTTTTAGATTGACTTATGTAGGAGTGGTGTCAGTGGATGAGGTGATAGCAGCTAGTACGAATGTCACGCTTAGGAATATCAATTAGTCACTCAGTGGGAGATTGGGGTAGGGCGAGGGACAGAGGAAGAAAGGAAGATGTAGTCTGTTGCTTTCTGCATTATTCCTCATGCTATTCCAGCCATAACATCTATCAAGAATGACACATTTTGTACAAAATTGTAGGGGTGGAGTTTTAAGTGCGCTTCTACTATATAGTTTTCATTTCTCTCTCTCTCTCTCTCTCTCTCTCTCTCTCTCTAGCTATCACTATTGGTTTCGAGAGTATTGAGTACACAGTGGACGAGGGTGGCACACTGGAGGTAGTCGTGTTGAAATCTGCTCCGTTCGACTCTGTCATAGAATTCGAGGTGGCAGGTGGAAACTTCTCTGCTGTCAGGGCTTTCCCGGATGGAGCATCTAGTCCCAACTCCATATCAATATCATTCCAAATCCCTGATGACATCATTGCTCTGGAACCACCGGAAACGATACTATGTATACTGACAGTTCTCGACCCAAATCCACAGATATCTGTCGACCCAGACACTACCACTGTCACCATATTCGACAATGATTGTGAGTTTAAACAGAGAGTGTTCCGACGTACATAAGCAGCTGAATTCTACCTGATTGAAATACAGTGGGTGTACTTAAAATAATACAGTGAGATCTCCAAAAAAACACTTGGTTCTACTCCATATTAACCCAACACCCATGAGTAAAAGACACATTCCAAAAATGGCCAAATTGTATTTTTCAGGCTGGCGTAGTTGTTGGTATCACTCATAGGACGCCTCGTAGCCTGTTGTGCGAGAATAACTGCAGACGGACAGACAGACAGACCAAGTACTGTCACCTCGCTGCGTATGCGCACCGAGGGTTACTTAGTTCTGCCCCATATTTAATATACATCCCCGGAATGAAGGACACTTCCAATAACCCCAAGGAGTGCCTTATTCAGAGATTTCACTGGATTCTTCATTAACTTACATCCCATCTCTCCCCTCCATCTGTACTATGTACACCCAGTTTGTGAAGGGTAGCTAGCTAGCTATATACAATGTTTGAATATGGTTATAGTCAGACTTGTTACGAGTTCTATAACTCGTTCTATTAATATGTGGTCATAAAAACAGCTCTAAGTGGTTTTCTGCTGTTTGTATATAATTATACCTATGTATTTGCAGGTCCAGTGACTATTGGATTTTATGAGGCAAACATTATTGTCAGAGAAGATGGAGGAAATATAGAAGTAGCTGTCAGTTTACTGCAGCCAGTTGCAGCCCCAGTCTCCGTGGACTTCGACTACATCCTTGAAACTGCAGGTTTCAACGGTGGGTGAACCCTCACATAACGAGCTCCTCATTTCACTCCATTAATAAAGGACCTTGATCAGCACCATCATGTGTTTTAAACTTTGTACTAGTAGCTGAATGCAGGGAATTTTTGGCACGTGGGAGTGAGTACAAGCCTCAGCAAATCAGATTGATAGTATTGTGTCCTTTCTGCAGAACTTGACCGTTCAGCAAACCACTAGGTTAGCTCGCTCCCACTTTCCAATCCACCTTAAATCCCTAGGCATTAACAACTAGCCTGTGTTATATTACGAACATTGATGTTGTCGTCAGATGGGAGTATAATAAAAAACCTTTTTTCCAGATTTTGTGAGAACTGGTCTGTCGAGGCTAACATTCACTGCAAACGGAACACAGACAATTCCGTTGGGGATCCGTGATGACAATCTGGACGAACTAGAGATGGAAACCTTCTCCATTACTCTGTTTAACCCTCTGCCTCCAGACTGCGTGACCATCTCTCCCGACCTGGCCACCATCACCATAATTGACGACGATGAAATCAGTGAGGAGCGATCAGATTTTGCAATTTGAATCATGGCGCCTCCTCCTAACCTCTTTCTCTGATTGAAAGCTTTACAACTTTGTTTCTGCATTGCAAGTGTGTAGCTATAATTTAGCTATATATGGTGGTTGGTTATAACTACCCACTGCTCTCGTACCATAGCTTTATCTAGTCAAAACTTTACCTGGACTCACAAACAAGGAGCTGTCAATTACTTAATTAAAGAAAGCATTATAGCTTATTTTAATTCTTACCTTTCCCTCATCATGCTTAAAGTACCTTCCCCTGCCTTATAATATTACTTTGCCTGCAGTAACTGTGGGGTTTGAAGCTGAAACTCGCACAGTACAAGAAGATGGTGGAAGTATATTTGTAGATGTCACCATAGCACAGGAGATTTCTCAACCTGTCACTGTGGGCATTGTGTTCATGGATGGAACTGCCATTCAACGATCAGGTAAACTATGGTCGTCATCAGCATACCATACTTTGGCTACTAATCAAAAGAGTTATGTAGATCAGATTAGTGCATGCGCACCTGCAGTACAAAGTTACATCTCTCTGTTGGTCTAGATTTCTTCAGAACTGGTCAGTCACAGCTGACATTCACGACCAATGGAACCCTGAGAATCCTGGTGGGAATCGCTGACGACACTGAAGATGAACCAGATGAGACGTTCTCCATAGCTCTAGTGAACCCTGTGTCGGGAGCCACTGTCGTTGTCTCCCCTGACACCATCACCATAACCATCATTGACAATGACGAAGGTATAGTGGGTGTCCTTTTTACACTGTCTTCATTCAGAGGCCACCCTATGTCTTAGTATTGGGCAGAACCAAGTGTCCTTTATAGAGAGGTGTCCCTATGTATTAGTATGGGCAGAACCAAGTGTCCTTTATAGAGAGGTGTCCCTATGTCTTAGTATGGGGCAGAACCAAGTGTCCTTTATAGAGAGGTGTCCCTATGTCTTAGTATGGGGCAGAACCAAGTGTCCTTTATAGAGAGGTGTCCCTATGTCTTAGTATGGGGCAGAACCAAGTGTCCTTTATAGAGAGGTGTCCCTATGTATTAGTATTGGGCAGAACCAAGTGTCCTTTATAGAGAGGTGTCCCTATGTATTAGTATGGGGCAGAACCAAGTGTCCTTTATAGAGAGGTGTCCCTATGTCTTAGTATGCGGCAGAACCAAGTGTCCTTTATAGAGAGGTGTCCCTATGTATTAGTATGGGGCAGAACCAAGTGTCCTTTATAGAGAGGTGTCCCTATGTCTTAGTATTGGGCAGAACCAAGTGTCCTTTATAGAGAGGTGTCCCTATGTCTTAGTATTGGGCAGAACCAAGTGTCCTTTATAGAGAGGTGTCCCTATGTCTTAGTATGGGGCAGAACCAAGTGTCCTTTATAGAGAGGTGTCCCTATGTATTAGTATGGGGCAGAACCAAGTGTCCTTTATAGAGAGGTGTCCCTATGTATTAGTATGGGCAGAACCAAGTGTCCTTTATAGAGAGGTGTCCCTATGTCTTAGTATGGGGCAGAACCAAGTGTCCTTTATAGAGAGGTGTCCCTATGTATTAGTATTGGGGCAGAACCAAGTGTCCTTTATAGAGAGGTGTCCCTATGTATTAGTATGGGCAGAACCAAGTGTCCTTTATAGAGAGGTGTCCCTATGTATTAGTATGGGGCAGAACCAAGTGTCCTTTATAGAGAGGTGTCCCTATGTATTAGTATGGGGCAGAACCAAGTGTCCTTTATAGAGAGGTGTCCCTATGTATTAGTATGGGGCAGAACCAAGTGTCCTTTATAGAGAGGTGTCCCTATGTATTAGTATTGGGCAGAACCAAGTGTCCTTTATAGAGAGGTGTCCCTATGTATTAGTATGGGGCAGAACCAAGTGTCCTTTATAGAGAGGTGTCCCTATGTATTAGTATGGGGCAGAACCAAGTGTCCTTTATAGAGAGGTGTCCCTATGTCTTAGTATGGGGCAGAACCAAGTGTCCTTTATAGAGAGGTGTCCCTATGTATTAGTATGGGGCAGAACCAAGTGTCCTTTATAGAGAGGTGTCCCTATGTATTAGTATGGGGCAGAACCAAGTGTCCTTTATAGAGAGGTGTCCCTATGTATTAGTATTGGGCAGAACCAAGTGTTCTTTATAGAGAGGTGTCTTCATTTTAAGTGTCCTTTATGGGTGTTTCAGATTCAGCCAAGTGTTCTTTATAGAGAGGTGTCCCTAGAGTTTGGGCAAACCGTGTCTTTATAAGATTGCTCATAAGTCCTTTTTCAACCTGTGGTGTTTCAAATGATTCCTTCTTCAAAGTTATGTAATGAAAAGAGTGGTGGTAACTGAGAGCTAGAAAAGCCTGAATATAAGATTGGTTACAAAAGTAATTTATAACCTACGTAATAAGGTTAACACTTACATACCCTCATAATGAAAGGCTTCACACTGTAATAAATGTGCTCATGTAGGAGATATAATATCTGCGGGTCATCATATACACTGAGGCCTTTCTCATGCAGGAACCCCACCACCGTTTGTCAACAACACGGTGGTGGGCGATCCGTTCTTCACTGCTCCAGTACAACTGGTAGGTGAAGACCTCGGGATATTGCCCGACACGGCTGTCTCTCTCTGCTACGAACTACACGGGCAGGATGGAGCCATTTTCAACCTCGTGAACGACCAGTGTACTCTAGTTAATGCCCACTACACCAGGGCTCTGCCCGGGTTCGACGTGAATGTAATCGACGCTGTGTATGTCAATGCCAAGGACTCTGGTGGGGCCGTATCGCAAGATCGCAATGTCCCTAAGTGGAGGCTGCTCCGTGACTGTAGACAACGTCACTGTGGAACGAGAATATGACAACGATGATATACGCATTAGGAGGAACGCGAACAGAGTGAGAGTGTCGGTGCCCAACTGCAACAAGACGATGTTTGTCATGTGGATGATCTGCGAAAACAGGGTCCTCCAGGGTACCAGTGATGAGGCCGTGGGTCTGATCAAGTTTGTTATCGCTCGGGGGAGTGGCATCTCGGAATCCGCTCATGGCCTACTGGGTGGGTGTTATTTATAGCTAACTTTTCACTGTAAATTCGTTAACATCAGCCGATTGGCCTACTGGGTTGGTAGAATTATTACTTAGCAAAAAAATAAGCTAAAGAGCGCAATTTTTTCTTTGGTAGTGTATTTTACTCAAACCATTGTAATTCTGCAATATTCAAACATTTTTTCAAAGTGTCAACCTCATCTCTGTAAACTGCAGGTCAAATGTTCAATGTTCCGTTCAGCGTGAGCACCTACACTGGTGAACTAGGATTCCTGGACCCCAGCGAAAGGCATTTCTACGTGACTGTTGGCAACACACTACCTGGGACGACACTTACAAGAACCTTTGTCGCGTCGCTACAGCCTCGAATCTGGGATCGGACCGCTGACTATTGCCTGTATGCTGGAAATCGTCAGTCGGGCCCGACTGGGGATATCACCGACGACGACTCTCCTAACGACTCTGTAATTGAAGGGTTGTACACTGATTACATCGTCAGTGCAGATTTTGCCACCGACTGCGTTTACTGTGGTATCTTTGGTGTTGTGTGTCCATGGCTAGTAGTTGGAACTTGTTGAATTCATCTTTTCACAGTTGTAGTAGGCACAAGCGTACATGGCTATTATAGGCTCGATATCTATATTATGATACTGTATGTATAATTGTAATGTGTTCACGTACTTTTGTATGATCAGGTTTTGCAATTTTGAATCGTGGCGCGGCAGACGACGTGCGGCGCGCGGCCCAGTTAGCGCACGTCGCGTCGTACGCTACCATCTGGCCGTTTACCTAGTCGTTTGTGCTGTGGAAATTTTCTGCGGCCCAGTTTTCTTTTGCGACCAGTGTTTATATACGTCGGTTAGAGTCGCACATGAAGAGTGCAATGCGTGCCATCTGCAGGAACCGTTTGATGTGGCGTTGCTAATAAGTGGATGTTTGCCTGTGTGCCCGCACATCCCACGCCGTAGCCTGCGGAGAGCGTTTTCCGATTTCCCCCTAGACCCGGCGGCGGTGTCTCCTGACTCGACATACCACTGCTAACTACCAGTATTACACTGCATTACAGGACCACAACAGAGTAGGTTCCGTGCGGACCGTGTCGGGGACGCGGCACCTGCTGAAGGAGAGTCTAAACGAGGCGGAGATGGAGGTACAGACTGTATTTCAGCTGGTAGCACTGCTGTTGCTCGGCATTTGCACCAGAGGAGGTAAGATAATAGCTAACTACCTCTCCTGTCAGACATCACACCATGTATTTGCTCGGTTAGCTATTGCATAGAGGAGTCTGAGATTATATGTAGCTTCTTCATTCTCAATGCAAATTTTTCTTGCCTGCTGAACGGACACCGCGACAGATTTTTCATTGCGCATGCGCAATTGGCCGATCGACATGTTGTCTATAAACTGCTATGGCAACACATTGACGTTGACACAGGGAAGGCTCAGGTGGAGTGTTACTCAGAGGGGCAATGTCCAGAGAATGTACCGGAATTGATTATCGGCGAATTTAATTCAGCTAAAGAGTGCTGCATACTTGATGAAGCTCTCTCCTGGCAAACTGCAGAACCCTGTGCAGCATGTTTAAGTACGTGATTGTATACACCGCAGTATGTTGCATGTGCTATAGTATGTCCTTGTTTCCAGAAAATAATCTCTTCAGAGTTACGGTTTCCCTTTCCACTCACAATTTCCACATTAATATTGTGACATTCATTAATTCATGCACTCTTTAGAGATTTAGTGAGCGTATATTATACAGCTTTTATCATGCAAATAAATGGCAGAACTCGATGTTTTGGTGTGTTTTGCTCCTATAGTTTATGGGTGGAAAGAGACGTATTCCGAGGCAGGGATAGGTGACACAGTGACTCTGACTGTTGGCACTATCAAGGGGTCACCTGAAATCAGAGTTATTCTTGGTGTGGAATACAACAATACTGGTAAGACAGCTGGTGTTTAGAGCCAACTTTAACTTTGGCTTTTTTGTTTTAGAAGTGAGTGTGGATGCTACCGATTTCGACCCAACCAGATTCATATTGGCAGCTGAGGATCTGAGTTTACAAGTGACAGTGTTGGATGATGGTCAACCTCTGCAGGAAGATAAGAACATCACGCTGACACTAGCAAAGATAACAGGGGGAAAAAGTTCTGATATCATTGTCACTGAAGCAATAATCGCAGTCAGAGCACAAAAGATCCCAGGTTTGTAAGTATTTTTAAATGTTTACCTGTACTCTGCCACCCTGTTTTTAAACTCTCCTTCTCCCCTCTAGTAATGGTCGGCTTCAACTCAACATCCCTCACTGTGTCAGAAAGTGACGGCTTGGCTATAGCTTGTATCACTGCTATTGCTCCCAGTCCTACTGACCCTGTCACTGTCACTGTCAATGTCTTCGCCATTGGTGGGACTGCTACAGGCAAGTTGAAACATAGCCTTGCACAACTTTTCTCACGGCTACAATTTGTACACAGTGATCCTTGGTAGGTAAAAATCTCCACACAGCTTCTCACAGCATACCATAGTACAACTGTTGCAACGTGATACATCGCAGTGTGGTACCAATGGTCTGTGAGAATGTGTTTCCACTATGTTACTATTGTGGTACCAATGGTCTGTGAGAATGTGTTTCCACTATGTTACTATTGTGGTACCAATGGTCAGTGAGAATGTTTCCACTATGTTACTATTGTAGTAGCAATGGTCAGTGAGAATTTATATACCGCAACCATTCTCACAGACTGGTGGTGCAATATTAAACTGCTTGGCTCACAGTTTAGGCTGTGCTAGACGTGGGCTCCTCTTGCTTGTTTTGCTGAAGGTCTGAATCTAATTTCTGCACCTCTGAGGGTGGTTAGCTGTTGTTCAGAACCAATTTTCAGGCGTCTTTGCCAATTTGCAAACTCTGTTTGCACGACCACACCTTGGGCTCTGCAACTTCAACTATACTATGGCACTGCGTAGGTGTGAGCCTAGTCTGATCCCTCTTTGAAGAATATCCTGCAACACTAGCTATGATGGACAATACGTTCTCCTTAAGTGGAGCCTACTAAAGAAAACAAGTTTATATTGACAGAATAGCCACACCTTAAGTGGAGCCTACCGAACAAGACAAGTTGATATTGACAGAATAGCAACTCCAAAAGTAGCTCTAGTGTCCCATGGTTCAATTAAACACCCACTCTTGCTGTAGACAATTTGGCAGGAGGAAGATTCTCTCTCTCTCTCTCTCTCTCTCAGTGTGTACCCAGGGTTCATATAGGAGTTTTGATGGCATGAAGGTGTGGGTGGACTCTGATAGTATCAGGTTACTGAGAAACTACAGTATGTAATGGGAGTAGAGGCTTTACAGGTGGGTGGTAGCTACTGCAGTGTAACAAGAGGCTAGACTGTGGAATGGGAAGTGGTTGAGAGTTTCACCAAGCTCAGTCGGGTCTCTCATATGTGATGTGGGTTTGCCTGGTCACCATCCACTCCTACTCATCCCTGTCATATTCTACCTGACATGAATACTTATTTCCTTTATTCCTCCCTCACTCCATGTTTTCCTTTTGCTACTCTAGCTTTAGCATCTTCTTTCTCCCCCTCCTCTCCCCCTCATCACATAACAATATTAATTACACCTTCCCTACTGCTACTGTCCCACATTATCCATAAATTATATCATCCGTACAGCTAATAGCACCTGTATCAAGTACACAGTGATCAGCCAAAATCCATTCAGACGGATATGTGTTGAGAGCAGTAGTAAGCCTGTAGTTTATACAACTTTACAAACAAGCAGCATAGTTAGTTAGCTGTTCTGTTTCGTCTTCCCTCCCCTCACTCTCACACCAACAGCAGCCGATATGGAACCTCCTCTTCCTGCAACTCTAACACTGATCCCAGACTCTACACAATGTGTTGAAGTCCCTCTCATAGCCGGCGATGGATACGAACACACAGAGATGTTCTCTCTACTACTGACTACTACCGACGGTGCCAATGTTGACATTGTCCGCAATGTGACAGAGATCACAATATTGGATTCAGACAGTGAGTTTGTCTGTCTAAGTGTGTAGCCCAGGTTGCGTCCAGCCCTGCCCTGTGATGTTTGGCAGTCCCTCGCTGGCTCTGGAATGCCATTAGCCCAGAAATTGATATCCCTACCAAAGCGAGAGTTGGTAAATAACACTACACCAGCCAATCAGCGCTCCCTTAGACTCTAGTCGCCACTGGTGCTGGGAGGCATTCTTAAGAGGTGTACGTGCATGTGTGCAAGAGCAGATAGGATAGCTACGTAAATAAAGTGACTAAAAACTGCCCACTACGTTTAGGAACGAGGACAAATGCACATGAGATGTTTGGTATGGGGTATTTACATGCCAGGCTTCAATGGGCCTCTCCTTTACTTACAGTTGCATGCGTTTAATGGCAAAAACGTCCTGAACAGAAAAAAGGAAGACAATATTTTGGGAATTAAATATGTGCAATGTTAGGTCTCACCTCCAAATCTGGTTACCTTCAGAAATGCACCAAAGTCCGATAGTCTGGTTTTGTTAGCTTTTCCTATAGTGCAGCTGACTTGGAACCTTGGGTGTATCTACTATTAGCATTAAGTTTTCTTTCTGAGACTCAATCTCTGTCTCCCTGCAAGTTTGTGAGGGAGTAGCCAGACCAAGGAGTGTACTATATTACTACAGTCAGTTTGTTATCTGACACATGTTCTGCATCTGTTCTGTTTGTGTTGGTCCTCTAAGGGCTGGTCCCACTGGGAGATTAACACCTGTCCCTACTACACTCTCCCTTTCTGCTTACTGCACACACACACACACACACAATTGTGCAGTCTGTTATGCCAAGGTGTGCATGCATGGAGAAGATACACATCAGATACACATCAAATACACACTACATGAATAACGGTACATTCAATGTGTCTTAGTAAAATTTCTAGTACTACATTGCGTTAATATTCTAGTCACGAGTAACTGTATATTGTGTGCATGGGAAAATACACGTTTTGAGGCATGCCGATGCGTCCATACATTCTTACACTACTTACACTACAGTCAAGATTCACGCAATATCATGCAGCACAATGATAGCCAGTTACGTGCACAGAACACCCGATAATTATATGTAGCAAACCTCATTCCTGTACTGAGTTTGCTAGCAAAAGGACAGAAACCAGCAAACGCTATAAATGCCCCTCTCTCTGTATGTAGCACAGTATAGTTATTGGCAGTGTATAATAACCGTACCATACTGCTTATCCAGTGGCATTCATAGTACTGAGCCCGGAGATAGTGGAGATAATGGAGGGAGATGAAGAGGTTCAGACTCTATGTCTCAGTATCAATAACTCTGCAGTTGACGTGGATGTCTATTTCTCAGAGAGTGATCTCTCCCAGTTAGTAGGTGGGTGAGTTTGTTGTGATAGAGAGAACAGGAGTGTTTTACTAGAATGAATGACACGCACTTTTGGCGAGCAAGTGCATTTTTTAGCGTATTTAGAATCACGTACAACATCATGGTATGTGCAGTGCCCGTTGCATCAAAAAATCCCGCTTTCAGACAACTAGGTAGGCTCACTTCCTCGCCAATTACTGCATATGTTAGCCTGTGTGTGTATGTAAGGTACCCAGTTGGAATCCCAGTAGTGGTGGTTTTGTTTTGTTCTGTATACAGATCATCAGTAATGCTCAGTATAACATTCACACTATGCTCGCAGGAGATGTTCTACCGATTGGGATGTTTGAGAGCGAAGTAACCTTGTTAGCACAAGGACCTCCTTATTGTCTTCAGGTATATATGATACTAGTACTCAGGGGAGGAAAAATGCTTGTAACCAATGAACTCTCTAATTGTTTTTGGGGTAATGTATCAGTATTAACTGAATTGGTAAGTGCCACTGATCACAGTATAGAGCTCAGAACCATACTAACAATGCCCTCTTCAAGGTTTTCTGTGGGTGCATGTATTATCAACCACTCAGTTACTAAAAAAACATACGTTGAACCTTCAATTCTATAATTTAGGGTCAGCCTGCAATAACAAGACCTAGCTATCTTCAAACAATATGTATACTATTACATAATAGTATTCCAATCCCATAGCTGACTTTCTTCTATCCACCTATATTATAGTAGATGCTATACATGTTACATGGTCATCTCACACACAACTCTGCCAATATAGACGGAAAACATCTGCAATTTAATTGCCTATTCAGGTGTTGCGTATTTGACGTGCAAGGTGCTCCATTTATGTCTCGATTAGCCTGCTCCACCCTATCCATACACAACCCAGTGTAGTTAGTTAGCGGTGAGAGGGTAAGTGTATCCAATTACCTAACATTCCTCTGTTGTTGGCACCGACAACAGTTCAAAGGTCATTAACCCTCGGCGCGCATGCGCAGCGAGGGTTACGGTAGTTGTCTCGTAAGTGTGTCAGTCTGTCATTCTGTCTGTTACCACGTTTTCTGCCACCGCGCGCACGAAATCAGGTAAATAACGATATGATCGGGTTCAGTGCTACACTGGGTTGATTTTAAAAAAGGCGATTTTCGTAAAACTACTGTGTTTTAAAGTTATGGCGTGAAACCCAAGTGAACAAGCCAATATGTAAATTAGCACAGGCTTACCTCGACCGCGTCCGTTCGCTCTTGAAGGCACAACAAGTCACAACGAAGGGCATGTATCGACTCACGCATACTATTTACTACTGTAGCTAGCCCGTGCCAGACTCTCCGCTAGCTACTAGCGGGATACCACGAGTAAAGGCATAAAAAACCCAGCCCATCAATTAGTGGTACTGCACATGCGCAGTTCGCCGAGGGTTTGCACTTTAGTGCTTTTCATTATACTAGCGTCCTTGCCACCAAAATGCACGATACATCCCCTTCACTAGCGCCCTTGCCATCATAAATCCCCACAGCCTGTTTGTTTTCATGACAGCTTCCTCTCCATCACAGTACAGTGCTATAGATGATGATGTAATCGAAGGAACAGAAGTGTTGGAGGTGACGTGGATGGGGCGAACACCTAGAGTGGTGCCTGCTACTGTCATCATGACTATACTCGATAATGACAGTAAGCCCCTATATCAGAAACCATTATTTTTCATCATTTACACAATACTACTTTCCTTTGCTATATACACAGTGCTTCCATCTCCTTCACCCTCACCCTCTCCCTCTCCTTCCCCCTCCCCCACCTCTCCTCCGCCAACAAGACGTGTACCAACCCCCGAACAAATTGCAGACACTGTCAGCGGAGGCGCCTTCCTTGCCGCTCTAATTAATGCCCACTCCACAGACACCGACGCACCAATGGAGATGGCGCTGTGCTACGAGGTCCACGGGCTCCAGGGGAGATATTTCAATCTCGTGAGCGAACCCTGTCTATCAGTAAACGCCCACTACATGGTACAAGACCCGGATAAACCACTCCATTTTATCGACGAAATAGCGGTGGTGGCAACAAACGCAGAGGGAGCCAACATTGAGATGGAAATTGACAGACACTGTAACCTACTAGTGGACGGAAGCACTACCAGCACGGTGTTCTTAAACAGCAGTGGAGTGTTGGCTGAAGCAATTCCGGCCTTCAACGATGTTGTGATAGTGGCAACTGAGTGTGGTCGAGACAGAGAGACCGTGCTGTGGATGAGATGTGTACCACACGAGCACGGCTTCATGCAGCTGGACATCAGTCGAGACTTGGGCCTCAGAAATTCCTCGTCTCACGGGCTACTGGGTGAGCTAATGTCACAGCTTGTGTTCCAAGACTAAAATGACTATAATGGAAAAGTGTGAAGCATATCAAACTGAAAGGGAATGTGGCGGCTAAAGTTACTAAAAACCTGGAATTGCATAACCGAGCCCTTCCATCTTTTTAGTAATATTTGCGCTTATGATATTCTGTCACATTAAAGCAGAACGTCTATAGTCCATACACGCAAATCCATCAGTGGTCTAAGAGTTGGATGGTTTGTAAGTGGCTTTTTGGCACAGGGGCTTTTGTTGATACTAACATCACTACAAGATGGGGTGTTGGTAAAATCTCTCAAACACCAGTAACATTTTGAACATTAAGGCACACACACCCCCTCTTCCCCTCCCATTATGTAGCCCAGAGTATACATACGTATATAGCTCTCCCATCATTCTCTCAATGCACAGGTCAATTCTGGGGCGTCTCGATACCAGTCAGTAATTACGGGGAAAACCCCGACGATTACCTCATTGAAATTCCTTTCCATGGTGGCATAAACCCGCGCAAGATAGTCGGGAGCAGTCACAAGGTCACCTGGGAGTATCGCAGACTCAAATGCCTCTACGTCGGAGACCGGCAGGGAGGGAGAGGGGCGGGGATCCACGGAGGACCTAATCAACCTCTAATTGACGGGGACTATACCGATTACCTCACCGATGGACCTTTCGATACAGACTTTATACACTCGCACTTTGGCCAGTGATTAATTGTTTCGTTTGATGAATTTTGGGTGTTGATTTTTTGTTAGTATTATTATCATACTTGAAAGCAAAAGAATTGGTGAGAGGAAATCCTCACATTAATATTGCGATAGGAAATGAATTAATAGAGTGTACACACAGAATGGCAGTTCTATAAAACCTGGTAGCAAGCAGTGCTATGCAGTGAAGCAAGTGTCTAACAGTCTCTTGATATCTCTTAGTTCTTCCTATTGGCAAAGCAAGAAAGCGGTTTTTAATATTTTTCACCTACCAATTCACGGTAGTACATTTCTATAATATACATTTATAGATCAGTTTTTTTTCACCCCACAACTCAACAATTATTCTTACCTCGTGTTCTTCAGAAGACCAAATCTCAGCCAAATCCGTCAGAGCACTTTTCAAACCCACCTCCTCCTTCCCACACTCCAGCACCGCCTCCTGATGATGCGTCGCCATGGTGACAAGCGTCGATAGTGCGTGACCTTTGACCTCATCACTTCCGCCGGCTCTAACGAGACTGACCAGTTCAGGAACGAGAGTGGGCAGTTCAGCTACCAGTCGACCTGCACGGTGGCAGTGAGACACTATAAGAATGACTTTGACCCAGGAAAAAGCAAGCACAGACAAACTGAACCTTTGTTCGATTGATTCATATATAGGCAAATAAAATTGGACAAAGATATGTAGAGGGATGGTGTCATGTAGCTTTGTGTGCTTTGCTGTGTAATGACCCCTTTTTTGGTGCTTCATGCCATCCCTATATCCCCTTTCAGTAAGAAGAATTTTTCAACTTCAGCAAGAATGTAGAACGATGGCTGGAGTGTGCAAATCCTCAAGAGTTGAACTACTACAGTCCTTAGTCAGATCTTCATAAAGCCAGTGGTTAAAAAATCCCCATTACACCAGGCGTTTGCTTTACATAGCCTATATACTCTTCCCTGCTTCCCACCAACTGTGGTGTGGTGTATTATTACGAGAGAAAAGGAAGGGCCTAAAGACTAGCATCTTCTGGACTGCCCCACCACCCACATTCTTCGGGTCCAGTTCCTGAACCAGAACATGTCATGATCACTATTGTCAACTTCCCCATCTCCCTGCCACACACTATGGCTGCCAGGAAGTAATGTTACGTGATCTTCAGCTTAGCAAAAAGCATAGCTTCTTGGCTTGGAGGTTGATTTACTAAAATTCCCCTTCCTCTATGCCACAGAGTGTGAAGAGGAAGTACATATGTTTCCATAGCGTCCTCATCAGTACTTGTGGGGACTTTTTTGACACTGGACAGGTGTTCTCCATCATCACATACATCATATTTCCACTGAACTCATTCCCTCAGCATTCTTAGGGAAGTATACAGTTAACTGAAACAACTCCTTCCTGAGCCCTTACAGTTTGGTTAGTAGAGTTTATATCAATTATAGATCTTCCTGGAAAATGTTTAGCAAGAACTCTTTATAGTGGATAAGAACAGGCTTCCCCCTCTCCCACTCCACCTCTAAGTTCTTGGTATTAATTGCATCATCTTCCTTAGTTCCAGGAAAATTAACACCAGTCATTCATTTCTATCAGCAGAGGGGGCAGTATATAAGCAGCAAGGTTACTCTGACAAGCAACTGACAAACTGGTGAAGTGTAACACTTCATGCGAAGAAAACAGGCTGTGAAGCAGAGATCTGCAGAACCAACTGAAGAGGGCGAAAGAAAACACTCCAGATGGGGACTAACACACATGGTAAGAGAGGCAAGTCAATCTGTATACTGTGCTCAGTAACAACCAGTAATAATTTGATACTTCAGTTACATTTCTGTATATAATGCATGATGGATTGAGCATCTATACGCAGCTATGTGAACTGCGTATAGATCATACACGTTTCTTTTTTGATACAGGTATTTGGGTATCTGCCCTTATTGCAGCAGTATATCTGTTTCCGTTGCTGGAAGCAAACCCAGTTGGGTTCTCTCAAGACATCGGTGGAGCATCGAATGATCAGATGGGGTGTGGGGATGGGAGTAATAACAACAGCACAATCTACAACTGCCCCGGACCAGGGGAACAAGGACACCTGATGTTCTATATTCAATACGGACACAACATAAAAACAGACCGGTGTGGCGAATCAGATGCATACTATGTGAAGATAGAAGCGGTCAATTCCGAAGGGAGTGTATTCACCAAACTGACCTCTACCAAGAGAAATCCAACCTGGAACGAAGCCGTGTTTTTCGGCGACAGAGAATGGCAGTTTTTCAGGATCAGAGTGTGGAGCAGTAGCGGGGAACCAGCAGGGGACTTGGTGACTGTTCCTCTACTAGACCAGTCCAGGACTACTAGACGGCTCAAGCACTGCACTGATGCTTCCTGCAGCGGCTATATAATGTACCACTACAAGTTGTATAGATTGATTCGCGGACGACTGGAGGTCAGGTTGAGGGAAGAGGAGGGTGGCAAAACTGGCAAAGAAAAGTCCAGTCGTCAATCTATTGTGCTAACAACTATGACTCCCAGTGGCTCTTTCACTTCTTACACACTGGAGAAGGCAAACAGATGGATAACTATTAGCGGGTGCTCATTTGCAGACCTCGTCAAATTCGACATTATCGACACCGACGACTCATTGGCCCAGACCCAAGATTCTCAATTTATAGATATTTCAGCAGGACATCGCACCTACTGTCTCCCTGATGTCAGTTTCATCTGTAGAACCTATTCCCCACAGAGACTGGACGTTAGACTGACTCCCGACAGAGATGAGTGTGACTACTATAACCCCTGTCTCAATGGAGGGACATGTATTGATGGCTGTGGGACATACGCTTGTTCCTGCAGTAGTTCTTTCACAGGAAGTCTGTGTCAATATGAGAACAGGGTAGACTAGAAAGGTCAACTCTCTCTCCATACCAGTTAGTGCTGGAATTTCCCAAGACGAACCAGAGACAAGTTTTGTGTTTATTACAAGTATGACTATATGTGCTAAAACCTTTTAAAATGTACCATGTCATCATGATACAACAGTTGTATTTCAAATATTAGTGTTACCTTTGCACTGCGTACAATACGCTGAATTGGATACTGTCGCACACACTAGTCAGTTTGTAATCCAGCTAGGAGTTATCTTACAACAAAAACACTTTTGTCTGGCATCAAGTGCCCTCCCGGTTTTACTTCATCACCAAAGACACATCACTAGTTTCTTTAGGGCCCAAAGCCCCTCAAGAGGTCTTTTATTTCTAACACGCAATGCAAACGTAAATAAGAACTCACCTCTCACCTCTCCCTGGGCGGGGGAGAAGTAGCTCATGAGGATGAAGAGAGTCTTGACGACCATCTTGGTGTCGTCGGCCCCCAGACAGAGACGGAGTGTTGCCAGTCCGTCCAGAGAGAGCAGTCTCTCCACTCCTGGAGTGTAGCTCCGTGTCATACCTACAGACACATTACATCACTGTAGTTGAAAGTGAGATGTGTTTAAAGTATCATCAGTAACTTTGTGACATTCTTTATGCATGATGAGGAAAAAAATTTAATCGCGACCAATTGGAGTATTCAATCGTCCAATACGTTTTGATATGCGAAAACACATTTACTACATACAGTGTTCTACCAACAATAGAGGCATTCGTATAAAACACCATAAAGTATTATCTTACAGGACACAGCGTACACAGCCTTCACCCCGACACTCGAGGGGTAACTCCTGTCGTTAAGGATCGTCAGCAGACGAGGTAGCATCGCTAGGAAGGCCTCCTGGGTCTTGGGGTTGTTCTGTGTTGCCGTGGCAATCAGCTCACAAGATGACCGCACCAGTGACCTAATTATTGTATATACAATTCAGCATTGAAATTATCTCATTTTCTTATTCTCACTGTTTCTTGTGATCCAAGTAACTGGCTATCACTTCAACACCGTTCATTGGTATCAGGTCTGCAGTAGAAGAAAACGCATTATTTCCTAATTTCACCACAAACATCAGTTTTAATTTGAACAAGAGTTTAATCAAATGGTACACAGTGTCATGGATGATGTCATACTATTGGCATTGTCGAGGTCCTCAATGAGGTACTGTATCTCCTCAAAGGTTCTCAGTAGATGTTCCTCCTCTTCCTCTCCCTCCTCCTCTCCCACATCTCCTCCCGCTGGACTATGGGCCTATTATAGAGGATAAGAGAGATATCCCAATAACAATCATCGTCGGCTATTATGTGCAACAATGTAGGCGACTGCAAGGTTCATAATAGGAATGGGAGACATTAGAACATTATCACACAGAACTCACTGTAACGAAAGTGCAGTTTAGGATTTATCTCATCAGCAGAGCAGAAAGATATCCTTACAACAAGACGGTATTGCAGCATATCACGCTACTTACTCTCAGGACTGTCAGCGCCGCCTGCAGTAACTGAGACTCTGTCGGAGCCGAAGCTACGGCCTGCAGAGCCTCCTGCAACCACCGACGACGCTGAGGGACAGACATCAAGAGACTCTTGCAAACATTATAAGCAGAAAAGCCTCTGTGAGCCATTGGCTGCAGGTAATATGCTATCATGCTACCGAGAGACCCAACCTCGTCGTCCATCCGCGGCTCGCTCCTCGTTCCATCATGGTACTTTAACGACCACTTCACTAGAGCTTCCCTGGCCATTCTTCCATTTGAAGCGCACCATCTTGTTTCCTGTGCGCACACTTACTCTTCTCATTGACTTATTAACGCGCATGCGATAGCAAGTTTACGCACATGTGCTGAATAATTGAACATTGGTGGCGATGATGAGAATGGGAAATGAGACTGGAATGGAATGGAGCCTTTGTGTAGTGTGCAGTGAATGCTGGATGGCAAGGAGAAAACAGACAGTGGGTGGTAGCAACAGACAGTGGTGGTTGGTGGTATAATGTTCACGTCTTCTCTAACATGTCTCTGATGTTGTCCGCCAACTCCTGGTCCTTCGCCTCCTCTGCGGCCGAGATGAGGGCTCGGTACGTGGCCTCTCTCCCCATCTTCTCCTTCCACACCTCCAGACACTCCCTCTTCTGTTTCCCGTAGTCCCCCGGGAACGATTTGGCGATCTCCTTCTTCTGAGCTCTGCTGAGTCCCAGGAATGGCTGGAGGTTCTCCCAATCGGTGAGGTGGTCCCTGGCAATTACTGCAAGGTCCCGATCACTGATCTCACCGTTTTTCTTCTTCTTCTCATGAATTGCTGTAAAGGGTGAAATAGGAGATGTTCAAAATCTGATTGTTCAAGAGGACTCACCAGTAGTGTTGGTAGTAGTGTTGGTGGAGGAGACAGGAGGAGAGGACAGGGAGGGAGAGGGAACAGAGGCAGTAGTGGAGGAGACTGTGGAACACTCTGACACTGTAGAGGAACATGAATGAAGAATGAGTATCAAAATAGGGCACATAGAGATGCAAGGACTCACCAGGAGTGTTGGTAGTAGTGGTGGCAGTGGTAGAGGAGGCAGGAGCTGTGGAGACAGAGAGGGGAGGCTGGGAGGTGGGGGGAACTGCAGAAGATGAAGAGGAGAGAGAGGACGTGGCTGACTCAGCAGCTGTAGGGGGAAAAGAAAGAGAAAAGCATAATGAGACTATTCCAATTAGAGCCCTCAGTGGGTGGACCTCTACACTCACAGGTAGACGTGCAGAGGGTCAGCCATGGAATAGAGTCCTTGTCAATGTCTCCAAACTCTTCAGAGTCGATTGAGCATGTCCACACTCCCTTCTTAACGGAGGCCGGGTGGGGTTTGGCTGGGTGGGGGTGGGCGGGGCATACGATGGCTGGGACTGGAGTGTTGTTTGTGTAGCCGATGGTCTTCCCGGCTTTCTTGAGACCTGCAAACACTGCGTCGTGTGCCAGTTTCCACAGCTCGGCCTCGTGTTCCTTTGCGGTGCGTATGTGGAGTTCGAAGTGGGTGAAGTGATCGACGAGTGACACGGCGCCTGCGTAGTCCGAAACGGCGAACTTCATGACGTTGCGATGGAGGCATTTTGGAGCTCCTGCCTCGTTCTGGACCACTCTCCAGGGGCAGGGGTGACTGTTTTCTGGGGACAGGAGGTAAGCTACAGTGGAGCAGAACGTTCCCATCAGGGGACCGCTGTCGGGGAAGTGAAGAGCCAGGGCTTTCCCCGCCACTCACTCGGTGTTCCTCCACCACCTTCCACGCCACCACTTGCAGCAGACACGGCATGAAGTACACGCCCTCCGACATCTCCGCAAACACCAGCAACCCCTTTAGCAGGGTCACCAGCTCCTTGGGTGTGAACAGAGGTGGCTCGTAGTGGCTCTCGAACTCGCCAAGGAAACTTTTCGTCACTCGCCGTGGTCACGGAACCTCAGCCTCTCCCCCGGCACGGCTTTCTTTCCTTGCCTCATGTGGTACGTCTCCTCCACCAGCTCCGAGACCTTATCCAGCAACATCTGTGGCTCCATGAACACCAGCTGGGGCAGGATGCCGGGGAAGTAGAACAGCATGTTCAGACCGTCAAAGAAGTTCAGGGCTTCCCCACACGACTCGTCATCGATCTCCATCGACTCTGCCACCTGCTGGCACAGCTCTCGAGGCAGCACCTTCTTCCCCCGTTCATTTGCCACCTCCAGCAGCTTCTGGTACAGAGCGTACCATCGCAACGGCACTTTCACCTCCCTTCCCCCTTCCCCCACCTCGCTAAGACACTCCCGAATGCTCTCAGCACACTCCCTGTCCTCCTTCTCCGGCTTTGCCGCATTCAGTGTGAAGACAAAGTCGTCCCGTTTCGTATCGCAGTAGATGAGCTGCTCCCTGAACTGAGGCAAGAGGATCTCCTTCAGCCCCTTGTGCAGAGTGTCCAGCACTCCGGGCAGATGCTCGTCTGCCACCATGTCTCGGTGGGTGGCTAGAAACATCATTTTGGCGGGAGCGATGTCGGGGTTCTTGTTGTTCAGGGACCTCATGGTCCGCACGCACAGTCTCAGGGTCCCTTCGTTGGTCAGGTAGGCTGGGAACTCCCACACCAGCTTGCCGTCTTTGAAGTAACGGATCGTCGCTCGCTTGTCTAGAGACTCGTGGAGCTTCAAGACGTAGACGAATTTGGATGCACCCCTCAGGAAGACGGGCATCATCTCCAGAAGCTCGGGCTGGCCGCCAGAGTCCAGCACGAGGAACTGCTTCAGTCGCAGGATGGGCAGCAGGGAGGGAGGAGCACTGTTGATGAGATGTACAAACCCCTCGTCCACCGAACTCGAAAGCAGCATGGAATCCAGCCTCCCTTCTGTTTCCTTGGCCCTGGGCTTCTCCTCCGAGGATGCTGTGCTCTTCCCGGCTGCTTCAGACGTGGAATTCGTTTTTTCTGGAGTTGGCTGAGCTGACTGGCTGGTTGCGGTGTGGGGAGGCTGCTGGTCGGGGGAGGCTGGGGCACCACTGCTCTGTGCCACTGACTGTTGCCGTGGCATTCGCGACTTGATTACTTCAGCGATGGCGTCTGCCAGTTGGTCTAATGTTCGTTTCTTCCACTGTTTTTTGCCGTCGACGTCCACGAACACGACCTCGATGGGTCTTTTCATCAAAGGAGTGCTGTGTCGGATGGTGGGAGGGTCCACTCCGAGCAGTGCAGCGAGAGAGCACGTCTTGCCACTGCCAGCCGTGCCAAACAGCAGCATTTTGTCCAGGTCCAGCTCAATGTGGCCTCGTTTCATCTCCTGCTCGTAGATCTGTTTGGAGCGGAATCTTCCTGCATGGGAGTAAAGTGAACATGTTGAAGGGAGTGTCGACCAACCAAGAAAGTCCACTGTACCAGTGGGGAACAGCTGCTGCAGGTGATCCAATGCTCTGAGACTACTGCCGCCACCCTCGCCCCACTCAGTCATGTAGAGAGCCCATGCCACAAGAGTCCAGGATGGTGCTGGATGTGAGGAGATGAAGGAGTGAATGAGGGCCTGTTTGCACTCTCTGTCACTGGTACACTGTGCGTCGATCCTGCCCAACTCAGAGTCTGGTATGTTGGCATATCCACCAAACCTCCTCCACAGACTGTCACTCATGATGTCTAGAACTGTGGAGAGGTTCTCTGGAGTGAGACTGGCCTCTGGGAACACAACAGGAGAGAGAAGATCTTATTTAATGGACGTTGGTGTGCGTAATTTTGACACTAATCTCCGCCCATACTGGGACGCGTTTTAAAAAGTGGGCGTAGACCCAGATCGCTAAAGATCTCGAACGCTAATCGCTGCCGTGGGCGCCAGTCAAGACGCATTAACGAATCGGACCGCGTTCGACAGCACAGTCAGGGCGTATACGTATATAAACTAACGATACATGAGGCAAAACTATATACCGTCGCGGAAAACGGCAAACGGAACTCACACTAAAGGTCAAAGGTCACGGTAACCAAGGAAGAATGGCTGTCGCTAGGGAAGACGAGGCTATGGCGACACAGCAGACTGACCTGGTGAGACAGGCAGGAACTCCTTCACTGCCTGTAATGCCCTCTCCTCCTCCATGAAGTACAGTACTCCTGCAACTCTCTCCCAGGAGGCCATCGGGGCATTGCGGAGGAAGTAGAGTAGGACCGTTATTCTCTTCTGCTTCTTTGTCAGGGCAGGATCCTTCTTGATCTCATCCAGCACAGGAGTAGGAACACCAAGACCAAAGTAATAGTCCCCCATATGATACCAGTTCTGGACTGAAGAGGTGACGTGACGGAGGTTGTTGATAGTGAGTGTGGGGTCTGCACAGAGAGTAGGACATAACATGGCAATACACACATCAGTAACCACGGCAGATACATCGTTTCCAAGACGACCACAACAACAAATAGCCTCAGGCACTTTTCTTTTCCTCACCTGTGACAGACTCCGCCAGATGTCGTATCTTATCTGCAGCCTCTTTCTCTCCAATCACATCAAGAACAACAATAACTCGTCTCCAGGAGGCTAGTGGGTCGTGGTCCATGAAGTAGGTGACATATTCCTCCACCTGTCGTCCCTCATCTCCTCTGAACTGACTCTCAATTTCCCTCCGTCTCCTCTGAGGGACACCCAACCAGATCCCCAGACCATACAGTCCCCCTCACGTTCCTGACAGCTCTCTGGACATTGTTTCTGGTGAACATCATATCTACACACCAGAGACAACCACAGGACATTTAACCCTCTCTCTTTAACCCCTCAACTACTATGCTATCAAATTAACCCCTTGCCCACTACAACGCAGCAAAACAAAATTTAACCCCTTTCTCACGAAACAATTCTGTGGGCGGAAATTGTAGTTTTTGCACTTCCTTATTTGGTTATGGGTATTTTTAGTTCAGAACCTATCTACTAAAAATAGTAGAAAGAAGTAGAGAGGGGAATCAGCTCACATTTCTTGTCGTGGAAGTCGGGAGACGAGGGGCGGGGGGAGGCCATGGCTGGAGGAGCTTCAGCGGCCGTCAGTTCTGGCCACTCTCTCCGACTACCGACTCTCTCTCGCTACCTGACTACAGCCTACACTTTCTTGGAAGAGACGACACTACAAACTAGCTACGTTACTGCTCGCCCTCGGGCTACTGACTTTCTCGCTACTTCACAACTGCACAAACGAAGCCACTCAACTGCAAAAACACACAGCTAGTCGCAGCCGCTACATTGCCGGCTTCTCGGGAGTTCAAATAAACAAAAATGAAGTCGTTGAGGAAAGATTATCGTTGCTATGCGTGACGTCAAACGGTCCTGACCAATCG